AAAAAGAGCCTTTCTATGTGTTCCTTGAGCTGTATGGTCTTGGGGTTTGACTTCTGTATGCAATGCCAGGTGTTGCATTTTTTGCTGTAAGTAAAGGTAAACATTTTACTTTGTAACAGACTAATTGGTTTGAGAATATTATGAAAGTGCTGATTTTTAAAGCTAATAATAGTGCTATGGCTTTTTAAACTCATTCTGGCTGTCAGAAATGCTCACACGATCCTGAAAGTGTTGCTAAAAATGTTCAATTTTTAAATATGGTAATTAAAATTGTCTGTTGTGAGAGCAGTAGATGAGACATTTCCTGCATTTGTAAACTAAGCATCCCTTTCACCCCCATGTTTCCTTGCATCTGAATGTTTGTTATGTTGGTAGGATCTGAACTCCCATTGAACCTTCTTGGAAGAAGGTTTACCGTTGGCCAAGTAGGGAGAATGAGCTCTGCAGCCTGCCACCCTGCTCCGTGACCTCTGCTTTAGGGTTTGGATGTCTTTCCTTTGTTTTAAAAAGCTGATGCCCTCAGGGAATACAATACTGTAAACGGGAACTTCAGACATACATTTTCACTTTCAACTTTATCATTAAAAGAAAGTTTCAGATAAAGATACCCTGGGGTACACAGCACTGCTTCAGTCCTAATTTGAATAGATACCATGTGTATTTCTTTATTAATAGATTTATTTATTTCCTTCAAGTTTATTGTTAGTGTTTGATGACTATTTTAAACTGCAAGTATACCCTGGACTCAGGATTTTCTCCAGTTGTTTATGTAGATTTCCTATTCTTTAAATTTGTCTAGTTCTGAGATTTGTCTTATGTTATTGTTTAATAAGAATTTTTTTTCCAAGTAGAAGAGAATGTTTTTTGCTACATAGCTTAAAAAGAAGTGATATATTATAAATTTTATACTACCTGCAAACTTACTTCTTGTCTTTAGAATAATGTTCTGAGCCTCTCGGGGAGAATTGAAGTGACTTAGGGTGCTTTTATGGCCAGTGGTGGCCTGTGAATATTTCTAAAGCTGTCTTACTGGGCTAGGTGGTATAGTCCACTCTTGTGTGAATGTGTGAAATTTTGCTGCAGAAGAACCTCAACAAAAGACTTCTTTTCAGCCAAAATGTAATGCAAAACTATGCTATAACCAGAGTTTAGCTAGAAAAAAGATCTGGTGCAGTTTTTTTAAGATATGAAAATACAGGTTTTCTGGGTTGTGATGATAGTGAAAAAACAGAGCAATGGGGCTGGTCGGTAGCCTGGCTGTCAGTGCAGCTGTCTGCTCTGTTAGCTGCTCAGGTCTGCACTCTTTGTTTGAAATAAAAACAGGTGTTTTGACCATTTTCAGTCAATTCTGTCTCTCCCTCTCTCTTTTTCTAGCCAGAAACCGATACTTTCATGTCTCTGCCCAAAAGTGCTACTATTGCTTTTTTCCCCAGACATTTTTTATTTCCTATGAAATAAGCATTTTCAAAAATTAAAGAAAAAATGGAGAATTTCTCATACTCCCTAACCTCAATAAGACCTATGACTGATTCCAGCATATTTGTTGTTGGGGCTGATACATATCCATGTTGACTATTGACTTCAGAAGACTGTTCATGTTCGTAGAGTAGAAAGCGTTACTGGTATGTACTCTGTCACTCTTTCTACTGTCTACACTACATTTTTACGTAGTTTGAGAGCTGGCACATAATGAATGCTGTCAAGCATTTGGTTTACAGTTGTTTGCAGAGGGCTATTATGTAATAGGATTCTTCTCTGCCTCAGTCCTATGTTGATGAACATGCTTTTTGCAGCACTAAGAAAAATTGCCTAATTTAAATTATCCCTATGTAAATAAATTTGGAAACTTCCACTGTTACTAGATGCATATGCTTTCTTGGCTTTTGTTTTTACCACACCATTTTGCATTTTATTCCTGTTTCCTAAGTGAAAACTGCAATTCTGTCACTGTAAATCTATTACACTGTCAGCTGAATTTGAGTCAGGTTTGGGGAGTCAGTGTCATTAATTCTGCTACTATTGAAAAACTGACAATCAGTCTTTAAATATGAACAAGAGATTGAGAATTTTTTGTGTGTATTGGATCATTGTTTTCTAATAGCATCTTGGCTTGCTATCATTCTGCTAGTTGGGCAGGAGATGATCTGTTTAAATTTACTGTACTTCTAATGAAATGCTGAAGTATGAAAACAATTTGTTCATTTGTAGTGATTGCTACATGACTGGAGCTCTAATGTCATTCTTGGAGAGCTCAATTATAATTTCAGTGTATAGTTCATGTTTCCTTGATCAGTTAAGATACCTGGCTTTGTGTTTACTGAATTGAGCATGTGATAACATGCGTGTGATATGTGTGAGCACTATATGCCTTCAAATCAAAACAGGTAGTGGTGTGCAGGATGGAGGCTATGACACTGAACTTCTCACTGTGGCATTAGTGAAGCCCCTCACCACACCTGTCCAGCTCAGGAGAGGGTAACTTTTTTTTACAAGCTTTTGTGCTTAAGCGGGGAAGGAGAAAAAAGGAAGGGGGTGGAGGAGAAAGCTGTCATTGCAGTTACAGACTGCAAACTTCATCCTCTAATTCCTCACAGAAATTTTATCTTGTGGAATGATGAAAATGTGGAAAAGTGGGACTGTCAGGCACCTTGCAAGGCTGGACTATGATTTTCTGGCACAGGAATGAACACGCCTTGAAACATTTGTGATGTGTTTTTAAATCCGTTCTTGAAGAACATCTACTGAAGGTCTGATAGCCCTAGTATCTATAATAACCCTGTTACCCAGCTTAAAGACGCTTTTTGCTGGATTTGTCTTTAGGAGAAGAGAAAGCTGTTGGTTGCTATCTTTTTGTAAGAACCTCTTATTTTGGAGTCTGACTGTGCCCTTACCAATGTTGTGCTGTGTCACTAAACAAATCTAATTCCCAGCATGACGTTATGTTTGATCAAAAAATAGTTTACTGTGTTTTAAAACCTGTGAATTAGTCAACAGAAGCATGAGATGAGGTTGTGTTCTGACCATTAGTATTTGTCATTACTGTAAAATCTTCCCTCCCAGGGAAGTGGAGACAGAGGACAAGTATGGACGGAACCTCACTACAGCAAGAACAACGGTAAAGAAAAGCCCAGAAATAGAGAAATCATATAGGTTATGCAGACTTGTGTAGATTGCAAGGGAGGCTTTAGCAAAAGGGAGGCAAATAGCAAAACTGTTCTGAGGCATGAGTAGCAAGTTCTCTTGCTACTGAGCAACATTGTGTTGCAGAAAGTGTCTGGAAGAAAAGAGTCTAGTCAATTCATAACCCAAAGTCTGCTCATGGCTTGGCTATTTTCAGCCTTCCAGAAAGATGACCCTTTATGCGCTAGTGTTTTTAGTAATTAGCTAAAGGAGGTTAGCTTTGTTGAGAGTGTTAGTGTTAAGAGGTTTATCTGCTTCTGGCATCTGTTGCCACCAAGGTGCTATCTTTTATCAAGATGAAGTCAACATATGAAGGTTGTGTGTCAGATTTCTGTTACTAATGCATTGCTTGAGGTTGAGTTCCTGATTTATGAGGTTAGTATGGAATATGCTTCATATAACAAGAATTGCTCCTTGACATGTGGTTTCATTGTTGAAAGTGATTGGAAGGGATGGCACATACTCAATACATGTTTTTTAAAATAGTTTTTCCATTAGTGACGGAAGTTTGCCTTCAGCGAGCTATATTGGTCTTGCAGTAGAAGCCAAGTCTGTTGGCTTGTGCTCTGATTAACACACAAAGAGAATTGCTACCAATATTACAGGTTCAAAAGCGGTGTGTGAACCAAAAGGGGATCCAGCTTGATGTATATTCCAAAGGTTTGCTTGCAAAGCTTGTCATGATTCTTTTTTAAAACGCAAAGCAACCCACTCATGCCCCCAACTCTCTTGATACTTATAAACTGAAAATAAGTTCTACAAATCTTTGAGGGACTGAAACCAGCAGAGCTTTAAAGCCATCTTTCTGAGTAGAGCAGTCTTTTGAACTAAATTGGAAGTTTTAATATACAGTGTTGAGCTTTTGTTGCAAATTAAATTACCTAGTTGGCTTTGTTCTTTGGAATTAATTTATAACATTGCTACCTTTTTGCCTTGAGACAACTTGATGTGGCAAGTATATACCCTGGAAAACTACCACTGCAACAACAACAAAAAAATTAACTTTAGGCTTTATCTAGTTAAGATCAAGCTCTGAATTGAATTCTCTTACTGTGTTGACATCTGAAGATTTATGTCTTCCAGCTATATTCCTGTTGCAGAGTTGGCAGAAGTGACCTCTCCAAAAGAGGTCTTTGTTACGGATTTTGCTTTATTTACATTATTGCCATAAGGTTCGCAATGAAGTACAGTACATTAAAGCTAATACATCACCTGCTGATAGCAATCTTATCTCATTGGTACCTTTTTCCCTCTCCCAGTGTGGAAAAAATGAAAACATTGAGTCTAAGGATCACAAAAAGAAAGTTAAATAATAGTTTTCAAGAGCTTTAGCATTAATTCTAGGTTGCTGTGTGCACTGTATTTGTGTGTCTGGCAAAATGGTTACATAATTCCTTTTTCTGTGAAGTTACTGTAAAAATGTGTCTTTACTAGATAAATGCTACTAAGGGATAGAAAGAGCAGAAAAGCATTTGGTTTATCCAAGGTCTGTGGAATCCATTGTGAGAAAGGAGGTGGCTCAGGATGGGAAGGAGTAATGTTCCGGTTACAGAGGCAGACAAGGAAGCAGTACCACAAACTTCTCCAGTGGAAGCAGGGTGAGACTCTGGTGTGAGGAGCAGGACTTTAGATACTGTTTCTCAGAATGCAATGTCATATATGCTGCATACTGCATGGGTCTTTCAGTCCTCGCTGTCAGTGAGATGGTGTTACTTATGATTTTTCTCTTTCAAATATGCACTCAAAAACAAAGACAGCCATTGTTCTATATGCATAAATATGTACGTCATTTCAAAATGTGCTTTGAAATCTCTCAACAGGGTGCTTCCCAGATATCCTTTCAGGATGGGGAGGTGAACCTTACTGGACCCACAGAACCTTTGTTAGCCCAGAGAGCCCGGCTCCCTCTCAGGTAGGAACATCTTCTGTTCAGTGCTGAGTCAAGTGTGGTTCATCAACATGCAAAAAAAGACTGACTTCTCATTCCAGCTGCACCTGTGAATCTGCAGTGTGCTCATCATCATCATTGTGATCTCTTCCTTCTTGTCCCTTTCCCATCCTAAAAATGTACTCAATTCACATACTGAAGCACATATTTGTGTATGATGGTCTTTCACCCTTGTTGATGAATATGAATGATTTTATTGTGGTGTTTGTAGTGTAAGGCTAAAGGGCAGGGGGTGTGGGGGGAATGTGCTACTGTTGTATACTCAGTGTTTTTGCTTTCTGCTCGGTCCTGTAAGTATTTAATGTCTTAAGGTAGAGGATGTTCTTAGGTAGTATTATTGTATCTCAATAAATAACCAGTCAGCTGAACCATATAATCCTAAAATGATCTTTTTCAGTTAAAATGTCACCTCTGTTTTTGAGTGGTAAGGTTATTACTTTGCTGTATCATCTAGTAGATTTTATATCTATGTTTATACACTGTGAAAACTATAGCCAATATTTGCAATATTTCCCTGTGCAGTGCCTCACTAGAGTAGTCAGATGGAATACATCCTTTTCCTCTCTTCATTTATAACAAACTAGAGATGGCCAGTGCTGTTATAACTGAAGGTGGTATGGGTCACATTGATAGTTTAAGAAGTAACTTTTATTTTGACCAGTTTAAATTTTGAGTGAAACTCAGGTAAATGTATAAACTGCATTAGAAGCCAATACAGTAAAATTTGAGAGCTGCATAGCTGAAACAAGAGGAAACTAGGTGTTCCCAAGAGGCTTAATAATGAGCTTTGGGGTTTATTGTTCCTCAAATCACAGCGAAAATTCTAAATAGATGAAATGAAATTTAAAAAAAAAAAAAAAATTGAAGGTTGCATTTGTTACACCAAAATTAACAAGTCGGGCTGCAATGGTGTCACGAAGTAGGTCAGTCACATCCTCAGTGGCGGTAATAGAGGATTTGACCTGGTAAATTTAGAGCAAAATGTTTCCATGCTGCTATTCTCCTGTCCTACCATAAGCTTAAATTTCAACTTTGGTGATGCAGGTTGTGCTGAAGTCACCTTTTTGAGTTGGTAAAGGAATTCAGTCCTTTGTCCAGTATGTTGTGCTTGTTGCAGAACTGTAATGGTATCATAGCACATTGTACAATGAAATTAAGAAATGTTACATGGCAAACTTCTATGTGATAACTAAAATGTCAAAAAGTAATTTGTTTCAATTTGTTCGTGGCAAATAATAATTTGCTCTAATTTTGCAGCTTACAGTTGTTTATCAAAACAGTATAAAATAAACCCCATGAAATAAACAGTATCTGTATGCCTTACTCTTACATCATTTATCCTCACAAACACTTGAGAAAAACCAGATTATTCCCATTTTATCTATGTGGGGTCCAGGAAAGAGGCATGAAGTTTATATACCCAAAGCCTGTGGGGATGTCCGCAAGAGCAGAGTCTCTAACCTTGGTCATGGTTCTGCCAGAAGGATCACCTTTCCTTTTATAGAGCATGTAAAAAATGAGTATTTTCCATGCAAGAGAGTTATTTCTTAGTTTTTCTTGTTCTTTGAGCCATCATTTCTTTTACGGGAGATTTTTTTTCATGTTTGTGAGGTTGTGCTTTTCAAATCATCTGCCTGTTTGCATTTTTCTTCCCTCTTGGAGACCTCCTTGTCACCTACTTTGTATGCTATTTTGTAGTTTCTTCTCTTGCCTGCTGGTACTAGTACATATTTTTAGAATGGTCTCATCATGAAAAGGAACTAGAGTGCTCTTCCAGCTTTCTCTGCACCTGCCGGGCCTCTGAGTTACACTAGCTGATTAGTGTTTGCTATGCAGGTATAGAACTTAGTTTAGTTGCTAATGCTTATTTTCTCTTTATGGAATGTTGATAAAAGACTTCCACAGCTTGCTTCGCCTGATGTAATTATTATGCATCACCAAATATATGCACTCATTTGTCTCTTGATCCGTTAATTTGTAATGGGGATTAATCAAGCTCTGTGCATGCTATGCTCATGTTTACTGTTGTACTTATACTTTTACTGGGATGTTTTAGAGCATCTACTTGTTTATAGAGTTAAACAAGTCATTGCTTGCATACAGGATTCTCAGAAGAAGGTTGTGATATTAATTTGCTTTTAATCTTCATAACCTGGCTTCGGTGGCCGTTGGAAACGCTGACAATGAGAAAGACCTCTCTTCTCAGAGGTGTTCAGTTTTCTGAAATGGCCAGGTCTTCTCTGGCATGTTGCAAAACAGTCAGTTGCCTAGATTTCTGTAGATCCCTTAGGATTTTTGATGAATTCTGCAAACTGTCTTAGCAGAGGAGTATGGAAGGAAAAATGATAAAGAATATAGATTGGGGCCCACTCAATTAATGCCTGAGCATCAGTGTGTTGAACAGACAAGGAGCAGAGGGAAAGCTGGCCAGAAGAAGGTATTCCCAAGAACTTTTCTGCATTGGTTGCAATTTTTTTTGAGATAAAATGACTTGTCTTATTCTGAGTTTGATGTATTAATGAGAAATGTTGGCCAAGAAAGGACACCACCTCGCCCCCAACCCAAACCCCAAACAAACCAAAACAAACACACAAAGTATTTGTAATATATTCCAATTTTCTTCAAACAGTGAACTTAGGAGGAATTCAGAACACATTATTTTGTAAACCAAAGTTAGTTGGTATTTCTGTGAAATTCACTGGAATTTCAAAAGTCAAAGAATTTAAACTTTAAGGCAATGATTTTAATTCTTGTGAATCATAACTTTCCTTACGTGAAGAGTGGTGTGTTTTTAAACTGTTTTTACAAAAGTGTTTTCATTAGAAGTAATAGGTTTATAAAGGAAAATGAGTCAGTATAGACCATCTGTCTATCTTACTGGTGTCCTAATTTGATTCAATATAAGTAAAGAAGGTTTTATTAATAAAAACAGTATTAATAATAAAACTGTTTTTTCCACAAGTAGTAAAACTAGCATCTTAATATCTAATTTGACTCCTTTTACACTGTTCTTTCTTGAAAGTATTATATATAATTCTCATTTGTGCAGGTGTTTCTTGTTATATTTCAGGCCATGAGGGACCACCAAGTCATGATACCTTAAGCCTTCATTTAAATAAGCTATGTTAAGTGACGTTAATGAAGCTAATATTTCAGCCTAATTGTGAGCTACTCTGTGGCTATGGAAGAAAGAAGAAAACCACTGTTGTCCCTGTTGTTTTCACTAGAAAATATTCCTTCCTGCCACAGAGTTTGGTAATCATTATGACCTATAGCATTTAAGCAAAATAGCAGCTAGTCACCTAAGAAAATTAACTGAGCCTTCTCATCAGAGCACCAGCCTGTCTCAGGTCAGTGTCCCTTCTCTAACTGCAGCCAATAATGGGTATTTCAGAGGGAAGCAGAGAAAAAGAATGCCATGATTGTGAAGCCTAGTCAGTTGAAGTTAAAGGCTTCCAACTTGGCTTCTTTTGTATTTCTCACTCAAGTAGGAAAACTGCTCCATTTGAAGAAAATAAGTTCACTGATTTAAGTAAGTAAAATTAGTTGCACATTGGGTAAATGAAATGAGTGGCAGCGTGGAGGATTTTTAGCTCCTCTATTCAGAAGCTAATGAGAAGGTAGTTTCTTTGCCTGGATTCTCTTAAAACATTTCACTGTAAAATTACCGGGAAACTTTTTGGGACTGTATCCCTCAGGAGTCTGAAAATTTTAATTTGAGCTTTTGTGAGTTGAACTTTGCTAGCAGAGAGATGTAAAACATTGGTCATTGGCATGTTTTTTAATGGAATAAAGACAGACAGGACTAATGACAATCCTCTTCTAATTTCTAAAGGTTCATTTTTTTTATTTGGGATTTGCTAGTAAAGATGATGTTCAGAATAAGGATAGCCAAGCTAATATCCTAAGTTATAAAATTTGGTATTTTTCCTTGCTTCCCTTCATGTTCTGGACTAGGACTTGGAAGATTTTTAAAGTAACTGCAGGGTCTTGATGCTCTACAGAAGTCAGTAGAAATTTGTTACAACCTTTAACATTGAATCCCTTAGCACACTATGCATAATAATAGTGGTTTTGAAAACCTTGCTTTGCTTTTCTTAGTAAGAATGACTGTGTTAAGGAACAGTAAACATGAATCTGCTTGGAAGAGGATGTTTAGCCTTAATAGTGGTGGATTAGTTGGAACTCAGGGTAATTTATGCATAGATAATTCATTATGTGTTTTCATTATGTTCTGTTTTGCTGTCTTCCCACTTCTTTCTAGCAGAGGTCAGGGTCAGTTCCTTGGTTTAAGCACTGTAGATACGTAATTAAAGCGTAACTGCAGTGTTTTTTCCTTCTCTATACTTTACTTTTTTTTTTAACCTTCTGTGTCTTTCATTAGTCTAACAACACCGAAGTGGAACAACTTGATTTAAAGAAAAAGACACAAAAAACTAGTGCCTGTAGGTTGTCTGGTTTCTCTCTAAAGCTTTAGACAATTAATCTCATGAGAACTAACTGCTACTGTAATCCAGCAATTTTAGTGGGGAGAAAAATCTGGACTACATTAGCCTCTTTACTGGATTAATACATTTTACTTAGGAGAGGGTGATTGGTTACCTCTTCAAACCTAAAACTGGAAGGTTCTAACATTATTTTGTAGTAAATGTTTAAACTTTGTGGATAGTTTGTTTAGTTTTGTGTAGAATGGAGCAGATGAAATATGCCTGTGTCTCTTAGAAGAGAGTGAGCAGTTTCCTTAACTGTGCCTGGAAAGCTCCTTCCTGACTCTATATTCAGTTGCTTTCTCCTCTCCTTGTAGGGTGCTCTCCATCCCTATTTAGTTACTGCTCAGATTTTCATCATTTGAGTGTATTCCCACATCTGACAGCTTTAGTTGAGCTGACTACGCTGGAAGCCTCTTTGGAAGAATGGGTACAAATACATTATTACCATCACTAATGGTACAGTTTTAATATGCAAAAGTAGTACATGGACAGAGTCATCACCTGCTTATTTGGATGAGTGTGCATGCTTACTCTTTAAAATTCCCTTTAGTAACTTGACATCACCTGTAGGACCCTGCTCTCTACCAAATGTCAGCACCCCTTATTCATGGATGCTCTCCTCCCCTGGAACAGCAGCATTGGCTGGTGGGGCTGGAGGTGCAAGTGAAGAACAAGGAAGGAGGTGCAGCTCAATAACTTTAATCTATGAGCTCTCCGCATCTGAGTGACATTTCTTTTGCCTTTTACTTGGCTGTGGTCAATAAAAATGCCACAAAGAATGTTCAGAATATCAGCTGTGCTTTTCTGTTTGCAAGGAAAACATTGACATCCTGTGCTAAGGGATTTTTTTTTCAGATACAGCAATTTACTAATCTGTACCTTTTCTTAAAAACATACGAGGAATTCAGTGATCTATTCAAAGGTTTTTGCTTCATCATGTTGTGCCTGTGTTGAAGACTTACATGCAAGTGTTGAATAAGACTAAAATGGCAAAAGAATATGCCATTGGAATATTAAATACTCAATCTGTGTTTATTCAGGCAGTAGATTCTTGTGACATACACATGATGACAAGTTTTGCCCAGTAACCCATGCAGAAAGCAGTTTTTTCCAAGGTACTGTCTTCAGTATGTTGCAAAACAATTATCTGCTCTGGGCTGCACCTACTGCATTCTCCAAGAGAAATTCTACGAGATTCACCTAGCATTTGTAGTTTGGGAAGCACCTTAGTGAACCACATCCTGCTGCAAAACTCCAAAACGTTTATTTCTGGAGAGAGGTCCCTTTTACGCATCAATGGTTGAGATCAGTTCTTCAGTGTTATTGGATAGTTTGCAGAGAAGCTTTCAGCTAACAGATCTTTTCCCATGGCATAACTGACAAACTGCTAATTCTTGATACAGTTTCCAGGAGAGCGAGCTATAGTATTTGACAGCAAGGGCACTGCCAATGTGAAGATCAGACTGATTCACTGCTGAATGTGCAGCACTCCATTTAAATTTTGCTTTCCATGTTATAAATGGACTGCTGTGCATGCTCACTACGCACGTGCGTATATCTTCTCTATCTCTCCTTGCTAAACTGTACTTATCAACGTTTTTAGTAATATGCATGGCAAGCCTTCCTGACAAAAGTGATAGACTGTAAAGAATGTTGACAGAAATCAATAAACATCAAGCAATGAAGAATTTAAATAGTAAATGATGACAGCTTCCTCAGGTTAAAAATCAATAGTACAGCATTGAATGTGGTCTTGCATGCCACAGTCAGGTCATGCTAGGCAGGTGTTCTCTCTTCACTGAGACCTCTGAGGCACCTTTAGTGCAGCGAGGGGAAAGGGAGATGCCAGCATGCATTTGAAGAAGCTTGAGTGCCATGTTTTTAGTTGGGATGAACCCTGCAGTTCAGATAAATTTCACTGAGATAAATGCTTTTTAAAGTTCACTTATTGTGACTGTTGTAACAACACATCCTAGATATCCCACTTTTCAATTTTTAACTGTCAGGCTTTCATAGGTATAATATAAAAATAGTATGTCCTCAAAAATATATTAAAGTTATTGTGAAGGGCACTTTTCTTCTCAGATGTAACTAAGAATCACATTTGTCTAAGAATGAGAAGTCATTCTGACTGATAAATTTTTTATTAAAAATACAGTTCTAAAGTACCTTTTTTTTTTTTTTACATGTATGTATATAGACTCTGCTCTTATTATGGATATTTAGTGCTTTAGTACATCCATAACTTTTGGGATGTACCACAGTGTTTTTAAAAGTAATACACAATGTACATCTGGGCTATTTGTTTTCACAAAGAAACCTATTTTTCTTAGTGTGTAGATTTCATGTTAGATTTAAAAATAAACTTGTATGTTTTCTTTGGCTTTGAGCCTACTTATAACTGAAAGTATGCTGATATAATATGACAGTTAACCTGTCTGTTGTGATAGCCCTCAAAAAAATTCCTAAAATTTACAGTTGCTTAGGAAGACAACTCTTCCCTGGAGTACTTGAGCAACATGGGGTTATCTGGGGACAACTGTAACTTATTTAAATTTTCCATGTACAGACGAAAGGCCATTCACTACTTTCAATAATTTTCTGGCTCTATAGTATTTGGCTACTTAATTTGCTCAGATGTTTTGATTCTGTAGAAGTTGAAAAGACTTTTTTTTTTTTGTCTGTTAAGAGAATTGGAGGAAGTAGAAGATAGAACTGAAAGAAAGGTTAATTTCCTATGCATGCATTTTTGAGTTTTTGGTAACCACCCTGATTAGCATTTCTGGACAGTTTCACTAGACAAAAATGGTTTCTAAAAAAACTTAAAGGAAGGTTTTGTCAGGATTTACCTGTTTGATTCATGAAGAGAGAGGAATACAGGAAACAAAATCAACAAATAGAAATGTCTGTTGATTGTGCCTCTGTTATAAATATAGTAACATAAAAATCTGTTACGTTGGGATAAGTGGTGGTTTGTTGTTCAGGGTCTGTCCGTTTCATTTTTATGGAATGTGTTCTAATGTGAATGGAAATACCCAGTAGGAGTACACTGGCCACTAATCTGGAGTGATGGTGTTCAGTACAATGGTGGGGGGGGGCAGTGTTACAGAAGATGTAGACTAGCATGGAAAGTAGGAGTAGTGATCTGCTAGAATACAGACCTTACTAATTTATCTCTTTTTCTTTTTTTTTTTCCTTTTTTCTTCCCCTCCCCCTTTGACATTCTAGCCAATTCAAGTACCTTCCTTTTCAAATTATGATCACCCAGAATAGAGTTAAGGCCAGTGTAAGGCTGGCAGTGTAAAATACTCAATAGGAAATGAAACAGCAAAAATCTGTCAGAGATAATATAGAGGTTTTTGATAACGGTCTTTGCGGAAGGAAACTTCCTGATAAAATGAGCTGAATTGCACTTTTGATTACAGTTTGTTTTGTTCTTTGTCAGTGAGGTGGTATGCAACTGCGGACAGAAATAAAGATGTTTAAATATGATTTGACAAATTTGCTTATTGGCTTGATGTCCTTACTGTGTGATCTCATGTTTATAATGTGTCCACATGGGGAAATTGATTGAAGCAGCTCCTGTGAAGCTTAAATTAAGAACATGTAGAATAATTTTTTTTAAATGATAATGTCTCTCCTGACTTAAAAGCTTATTCTTTTAATATTTCGGTTAATTTACTTAAGGGTTGACTTAGGAAAATGCCTGGTACTTGGTATCTTTCCCTTTCAAAGTACACAAATCCTAATCTAAAAAGATTAAAAAATTTGATAGCCATTTTACGTTTCATAGTATTTTTATATATTAGTGCACTCTGAGTCTGATATTTTTTCCTATCCTTTCTGCTATCTGATAATCAGGAATTTGTTTTTAACGTAGAGGGTTATGTGAAGAAGCATATGAGATGTGTTTCCTTGTGCTCTTTTTCAGTGAAATGACAAAAACAGTGGAGATTTCTGGGGAAGGTGGACCCTTGGGAATACATGTAGTGCCCTTTTTTTCATCTTTGAGTGGAAGGTAAGCTATTTTCAGCATTACCTAAGAAATATATTGATGAAAGTATTTCAGTTGTGGTTCTCTTAAATACTTACTACTTAACCCATAAAGAAAATACATGCTTAAAAGAAAATTGGTACTTGAGTCTGTGACACTGTCTTTCATTACCAAAATACTTAATAGTCTAAGATTTGTAGAAGACAGTACCAACCCCTTTGTTCCTATACATCCTTATAATTGCTTCTGTTTTTATTCTCTGAATGGTAAACTAGCATTTGTAGCAAAACGTAATACTAAAGATGTGGGGGCTAGGGGTTGGTTGTTTTTTGTGGTGTTGGGTTGGTTTTGTGGGTGAGGGGTTTGTTCTCTCTTTTTTCTTTCTTCCCCAATTGGATTCCTCTGCCTAGGCCTTTCCTTAGTGATGTATCACACAAGAAAAGTAAAGAAATTTGCTTGCCTGGTCATGCCTCATATTTTTCAAGCCAACTTTCAGACTTGGTTATATAGCATTTATATGTGCACTATACCATGAACCTTTCTTTGTCACAATACAATTACTTTAATTATAAATGATTTAACATAGTCTCTTGAGATCACAAAAGCCTATTATAGCAGCATGCTTATATTGATGTACTGTAGTTAAGACTGTGTCAGCATTTTCATTACAACTGTTTTCCAAGCTATGCATCTCAGAAGTTAAAAAAAAAAAAAAAAAAAAATTCTAGGCTGAAATTTGACATGTAGAGGCTTAGCCAGATAGTTAATTTGACACTGGCAGCCCTGAATATGAGATCGGAAATTGCCAGTGCCATAGATGACACTACTTTATAGTAAAATGGCTGCTTGTAACACAAAGACAATTATTGCAAAAGTAAAAATAGTATAATTCTTAAATGTTTCTGTATTTGTCAACTTTCATATATGACAGAGAATGTGAAGGATTAAATTGCCTTGCAAAAGTCTGTGTGTGTAAATGTTTTCTCAGCAAGACCTGAGTTTGTAAGTGGACTCAGATTCATTCAGAATGTTTTCTTTGCCAAAAGGGGAAATAGATGTCCACCTGTTGCCTGGAAAAATGTCGCCACTGTCTCAAGAAGAAAGTTGGTCTTCAATGGGAACTGTAGGAGGTCTGAGTTGTGTCCTTGGCTTTGCAGGCTGCCTGTTTGTCTTGAGAAAGACACTTGTATTTTTTTACCTCATCATGAAATGCAAACAGTAGTTCTTTGTTACAAGCGTGTCTTAAGGGTTGTAGCGTGTGCACTGTATTTAAAGATCATTAGGCTAAAAATGTGATGAAATTGTAAGCTATTAAACTCAGTAATTTTTGTGACTGTAATACAGTTCTCTACTGAAATATCGCTGTTTTGGGTGCCGCTTTTAAAGACCTCCATGAAGAAAAAGTGGAGTTCCTTGGTCTACATTGCGTGCATGTCAATATGCCCTTATTTACAAATGCTTGTGGGGATCCCTTAGAGCAGAGAGTTTTTTGACAGATAGACTACTTCTTTAGACAGTTGTCCTGAAATTTTAATGATCCTTGGCAGAACCATACTGGTGTCTTTGTAAAGGCACTGGAGTGACTTAAATCACTTGTCCCTTTTATTTAATCAAGTCTGAGACTAGTGTATAAATTTTCACTCATCATGAGAAAGTATGAAAGAGCATCTTTTATTTCTGTTAAAGGCAAGACACAATTTATAGGGGCACGCTGGCCACAACTAACTTGGTCTGGTATTTCAGTTGCAAAGTTATCTTTTAATAAGGTAATGCTAGCTTTAGCCTAGTGCTGCTGCAGAGCAAAATTTTTCTAGAGCTGCTTAAAACATTGTATTAATTTACAAAATCTTAGTTTACACAGGAAGTACAGAACTAATGGAAATAGTTTTTCCCCTTTCTTTTGCACTTAGATATCATTAAAAAAAGGAAATGAAAATTTAATAGTGCATTAAAATAATGCTAAAATTGAGGCTGTGGAAAAAAGTAATGGAGCAATGAATTTAAGCTGCCACAGCATACATAACTCAAGCCACTCATTCAGGTACTACGGTGCAGACTGAGTTTCAGATAAGTGGGCAATCCTGTTGCATTATATGGATGCAGCAGGATTAGTGAAGATCATAGCAACTGACTTAATTTATGATTTCTTTTATTTCTCCATTTATATTGGTTTGCATCTTAACATAATTATATTTCATTAGTCCTTAGTATTTGTTTTTTTGATTGCCACTAGTTGGGTGTTTGTCATCAACCGGGCTGCGGCCCCTCACCACCACTGCCCCTTTGAATCCTTTAGCAAAGGGTAGCACGGGTTGCAAGAGAATCTTTTGTGATAGATTGAACCATTTTTTTCTGTGAGTTGTTTTGAAGAAGTTATATTCAGGAGGGACCAACTTTTCACTTAAAGTACATTGATAATACATAAATTTAAATTTTTATATCTTATTATACAGTAAATCTAAAATCAGATGCACGGTGAATATAGTGTCATTTGAAATAGTTAATGGCGTGCTGTGAATCTGTTGAATGGACTTAAATATGAGGGGCAGTCATGAATCGGAGAAAAAAAATACAAGACTTCTGTTTTCTGATTGGAATGCTGGCACGTTGGAAATTGCACATTAATATTTTATGGAGTATAACCAATAGAAAATGGTCTCTAAAGGTCATCTGTCTTTAATTCTGATGTGGTACGAAAATCTAGTGGATAAAACTTCATTATAAAAGGTCTTCACAAACATGCAGTTGTCAGGTTTTTTGGACATTATGCTGATATCATTGAATATTTCTATGTTGAGTTGTAGTCTGCAATACAGAGATGCTTCAGGTAGGTCAGACAGCTCCTGGCAGAGTTAGCCACACTGGAATTTTGCACCACCCACACTAGTTTACTTAACACATTATCAGAAGTTTCTGTGCTGCACCTCAGTTTTCAGTTTGCACGTAACCTGGTAACAAAAAAATTAGGTTTTCATGTTCCGCTGCTCTTCTGCCACATAAGTAGTATTGCTGTCATGTATCCAAACAAGGGGCTTTGGCAACTGAAAAGTTTAAGAGCCTTTTCAAATACAGAAATAGTGTTTATTTCTTATCTTACTTTAATGCCTGTTTAGTTTATTATAGTCAGATTAGAAAGTTGCATTTAGTCTGTTTCTGCTTTTCTTTGGAGCAAGTAATCTTATTTACTGGCAGACAAATATTGCATAAGCTACATTCAAATTTTTAACTGGGTGAGGAGATCTAGGTGTTTTCCTTTGTTTCTCCAAGTATGATCTACAGGATTTAATGCTTCCTGAAGTTCTAGCAAGTAGTATGGCATTAGTGTCCAGCAATTTTTCTTAGTGTTTCTTGCAATCCCCTCCCTGTTAGAGTGAGCTGGAAATACTTTCTCTAGGTTAAGCACTTCATAATGGTCTATTCTATCTCATCTTATACACAGTAGAGATTAATATCTATTTTTAGTTGCTCTAAATTCATACCAGCAGAATAAAGAATAGTTATCACGTTTTTTGCCTTTTAGGATGCTGGGACTCTTTATCCGTGGTGTTGAAGAAAATAGTAGATCTAGGCGTGATGGGCTTTTCCATGAAAATGAATGCATTGTGAAGATCAACCATGTGGACCTTACAGATAAAACCTTTGCACAGTAAGTGTTGGTTTACTGATACTTTTAACTATCCAGGATTTTATACAGTGCTGTGTTTATTAAGTGATTGATGCAAAGGGAATAATATTTATTTCACATAAAATGCCTGTAAAATGAATACCTGGCAGAAACTTCAGTTTTCATTCTGAAACCTTCAAATAACGTGAAATTTGAGGAGTAAAATCTTCTTTTAGTCTTAGAGAACCTATTGTGCTTGCTTACTTTAAATGGCTTTAAGTTTTTAATAGTTATCTTCACCTTCTAATTCTTCTGTTCTTTTTTCCCATATTTTCTTTGTAATTTGTTCCTCATAAGACCTTCAGAATGAGTCAGCATTGCATCGTCTTTTTTGATGTTCTTTTGCAAAATGAAATGAGATTTTTTTTTTGGTGCTGCAGCTTTTTGAGCTTTTAATTTTTAAAAAATATTATTACTGTCAAACTGTGATTAGTTGAGCTAAATGGTAAGTCTCACCTCATGACTTTTATTAAAAATCTGTTGACATTTATTAACTATCTCAAATTACTGTAACAGGTTGCTTTGATCAGCTGTGAATTAATGCGACATTGTTGCACAAGAGAATAGCCTTTCAAATTTCAGAGATATTTGCTGTAGTAATTAAATAGTAATTTGTTTTTATTTTTAATCCATATGTTGAGACAGCTGAGTGATTGTTTATAATATAACAAAAACCTGTTGAGATCTCAAGGGAGTTGAAACTTAACTTTCTAAACAATAAGCCAAATGTTCAGGGTTTCTAGACTAAAATCAAATAAGTAGTTCCACTGTTAGGAATAAATATTTGCAAAATAGGTTTTCATAAAACCAGCATAGTTCTGTAGTAGGTATTACCTTGTTTCTCAGGCTATGCTTTTTGTCTTCTGGTAGTTTTTCAAGTTACTGTTTTCTGAATATTTGGTGGTGTCATGGTTTAACCCCAACCAGCAACTAAGCACCATACAGCCACTTGCCCCTGGTGGGGTGGGGGAGGGAGTCAGAAGGATAAAAAAAAAAAAGTGAGAAAACTCATGGCTTGAGATAAGAACAGTTTAACAGGTAAAGCAAAAGCTGCTCACGCAAGCAAAGCAAAACAAAGAATTCATTCACTGCTACCCATTGGCAGGCAGGCGTTCAGCCATCTCCAGGAAAGCAGGGCTCTATCCCATGTGACGGTTACTTGGGAAGACAAATGCCATCACTCCAAACCTCTCCCCCTTCCTCGTTCTTCCCCCAGCTTTATATGCTGAGCATGATGTCATATGGTATGGAATATCCCTTGGGTCAGCTGTCCCAGCTGCGTCCCCTCCCAGTGTCTTGTGCACCCCCAGCCTCCCCACTGGTGGGGTGGGTGAGAAGCAGAAAAGGCCTTGACTGTGTGTCAGCGCTGCTCAGCAGTAACGAAAACATCCCTGTGTTATCAACACTGTTTTCAGCACAAATCCAAAACAGCCCCGTACCAGCTACTGTGAAGAATATTAACTCTGTCCCAGCCAAAACCACCACAGGTAATAAATGTGTTGTGATGTGATATAGTACATGCCATTCTCTTCCACCCATGGAAGCTTCCTACATAAGATATCAACTTTATCAGAACATAAGTGTTGGTATCCCATTAAAATATTTGTTGCCTTACCTGTGCAGTTTTGTATGAAGATGTATCCTTCTCAAATGAGATTTTGCTTGAATCAAAACCTCTCTTTTCAAAATTGTATGTGGTCTTTTTTTTACAAATTTGTTGCCTCCTGTGTGTTCTCTTTGGAATATAGCTATATCTCCAGAGACTTTAAGCCCATCAGTGGAGGATTCCGTATATTTTTCTGTAAGGTTACTAGATTTTGGGACAAGTTAGAAATACTACCATAAACTTGCCAGTTCTCCACCAGGCTTCCCTTCAAAATGAGAAATGTGGGACACTTCTTTTTCTCCAACTTTGTGTAAAGTTTTGGGAGTTAGAAGGAATATTTACAGACAATTGTTAGTTTAGGGAGGCCAGTCTCGTGAGATGATCTCTCTGTCGCTGAGAGAGTGAAAGAGAGAAGTGACTAAAAGGTGATTCAGAGCAGAGCCTAATTTAGTGTTTGGTCTAATTCACCTTCTGTTACAATAAGAAGCAATGTGGTTGCAGTGGCATTGGATCTGAGGAGAAAAACTGTCTGTAGAAAAATTGACGACTCGACATCCATTTGGGGACTTGGGGGGAGTATTTTGAACAAGCTCTGGCCTGGTCCCATGTCCAGGGAACAACTGTTACGTTGTTCTCCTGAATTGCCTTCCAGAATAGCCTTCTGCATCATCTCTTTTCTCTGGCTGTTGAGAATGGCTAAAGAAAGCAACTTTTCCAGATTGAAACTAATCTGGAATATGTCAGTGAATATGTCTTTAGTTTTCATCTGGCATGACTTAACTGTACTGACCTCACAGAAGTCCAGGTTACAGAAATGCAGTAATTGCAGTGGATGTGACAAAGTATCGTCCCAATGACTGTTGACCCAGAAATAGTCATCAGGTTCTCCTTTGAGAGGAAAATCTGTTTGCTAGTTTCAAATTGGCATTTCTTCATAACCCTTGTAAAAGCTATTTTAGCATTTAGCAGAGACTGTTACATACTTTCCATTTTCAGCAGAGACTTTCTAGTATTGCTCCTGATGATTGCTGCTTCTGCAGCTGTAATAGCAGCAGCCTACTTTCTGTATTCCCGTGTTTATAATGGTTTTATATATTGGGACTGTTGATCTGCTTTTTCATTTGCTGTTAATCTATTCAATTACATTCTGTTGTGTTGCAGAGTTTCTAGCACCTCTCTTAATTGACTCCCTTATTTCTTTAAAGTATGCGTTTGGGGTCTCAAGAAATGTAAATTTCTCCATCCATTATTTTTTCTCTTTGAAGTGCAGCCAGTTATTTTGCCCCTGAAGACTGCATTTAGGCTTTCCCACAGGATGTCTTGTGTTATTTCCACTGTTTTCTGTTTGAAGGAGATCTTACATTTTCTCTTTCATATATTTAAAATATTCATTTCCTGAAACTGAGTTGTTAAATTACCTTGTAACATATGGCCAAGTGGCTACTTGCAAGGATGAAGACAGGGTGTGAAAGAAACCTGCTTAAGACTTTACATCCTTCTGCTGGGAGGTTTCTATGATCAGGGTAAGGTCTGTCTTTGCAAACCTTCACAGGCTATAGGTGAGCAGATAACCTATAACCGCTGCAGGCACACTGGGGCAGTGCTGTTACAGTTCTGAAAGCTAACACTTGAGGGTGGTGCTGGAGGAATACCTTCCCACAACACTCTTCCTGATACCTTTCCTTTCCAAGTTTGAGGTTTCTCTTCTGACACACAGGCAGTGTCTCCTGTCAATGAATGCGGTTATTCTGACTCTTGGTGCACATACACTCAGTGTAGCCAAGATGGTTCTTTCCACAGCATTATCCATTGGGACTATTCCCGACTTCAGTGTCTTCATGCTGCAAAAAACCCTCTCAAAACAGTCCCTCTCTTCCACTACCCAAGTTGGAGCTAATGGGTATCTCTCTTGATCTGGGAAAGCAGTAGGTGTATATTGAAGATGTTAACGTTTGTAGTGGCTTCCTTTCTGTGTCAGTCTAAAAAACTTTTCTCAGAAGTGCTTTCAGTATTGACTCCTGTTGTATAACTGAGTGTAAATCCAAAGCCAAGACTTCAGTGAAACACTGACTTTGCCTAACTGACAAACACCCTACAGAAGGGTAGGAGATATGTAAATTGTTCTCAAAAGGACCCCATGATTTATTTAAAAATTAATGTGGCCATTACTTCCCCTCTTGACCCAATTTCTGCTAAGCAGAAGTTCTTGATTTTTCATTCTCAGAATGTTCTTCAGCTATTACTTCTGCTTGTACTTGAGTTGTCTTCTGCAGTGTGGAAGAAAATCAGTTGCCTTTGTCAGAAGGTGGGAGAGGAAAGCATAGAAAGAGAGAAGTCTCCTTTGTTCCTTTATAATCTAAGGTTCATAAAATGTCTTGATTGACTAAATATTCGGATTATTCAAAATCCAGGAAAGGCAGTATGAAAGGCTGCTTTGGCCAACTTGTCTTAATTGCTTTGCAGTGCTTGGGAACCTGAACGCTGTATTGTTACCATGCTAATCAGTTCAAGGGGACTGGTTTCACTAAGTGCTCTAACACAGTTTCTGGTGTTGCAGTTGAGCACATCTATAAAGACATTGATTAAGTAAAGTCCGCATACCCATCTTAGCAAGAGATTGCTTCTTGAAAGACGTGAGTGGTATCTACCTATTCATTTATCCACTTATGTAGAAAAGTTGCACCTTTTGCAGTTACTATTTTTTTCTGATGGCTATATATCCCATACTGTCATCCTTTTCTGTTGCACCATTTGCAGTCACCATATTTCTTCTGAAGATGTCCATATATTACATACTCTCATCCTTTTTTATTGGTGTGGAACCAGCCAGCAGTTGCGTTAAGGATGATGAAGGAAGCTGAGGGGCAGTTAGGCTGTACTTGGGGAAAAAAAATGGAGTCTTGAGCTTTCTCATAGTAGATGTATCCCCAGAGCAATTGGTCATAAGTGCTCTGTGTGCCTCTATGCCAACAAGAAAAAGTGTAACAAACACTTGAAAAAAGTAGCAAGCTATAACTTCAGGAGTCTTTTGATGAACCTTTGCCATCAGAACTTTCTCTCCTGATGTGCCACATGAAGAATTGTGTTCATTAGTTTATTCTAGCTGATATGTTTTCATAACAGCCTAGGAATCCTGACAGATGTGCTGTTCCTACTTGAAATGTAAGGAGATGCTGTAGTTTAGAAGTCTTATTTCATGCATACTTTTTGAAAAGGGACTCTGTAGATGTGAAGGTGAGGTTATTTCTTCATGTTTAAGATTCTTACTCTCTGTAAACAACTTCAAACTTTGCCCAAATTTTCTGGTTGGTTATGTGAATTTTCCTGTCTGTCTTTTAAAGGGCTCAGGACATCTTCCGTCAGGCAATGAAATTTCAAAGTGTCATCTTGGAAGTCCTTCCTCCGTATAATCGAGAACAGTATGAGAAGTCTGCTATCGCTCCCCTTTGTTTTCTGGATAATGAAGAAGGAGTTCCAAAAACAAAGATTCCACCTCCTGTTCATCCAAAACCTGCTCTGAAGATGATTAATCTTTCTGGAGCAAGCAGCTTGGAGACAGGTGTACAGGCAACACTACAGCAAGCTAAGAGCCCAAACCTCCCACGTCTGGGTAGAAAGTCGTCTTCTCCCTCACTGTCTCCCCTTATGGGCTTTGGCAATAAAAAAAATGCAAAGAAAATAAAGATAGACCTGAAAAAAGGTAAGTATTTGGAGATGATGTGGTTAATTCTGTACCATGTTCTCTATATTGATACCTTAACTTTTAGCTAAACTAGTGACACTAACAGTGCAAGCAAGTTATTTACAGTTTAAAAGTTCCAAAACTTCCCAAAGGTAAGGAATGTTACCAGTAATGTTCTCCACAGTCAGCTTTCTCATAAATTTTGGATGTGTCTTATCCAGACTTACTGATTTTTAGAACATCTCAGTTGCTGATTATGTGGAAGGTATTTCATTAGCAATATGCAATATTAAGAGATGATTTAGCTTTTTTGCACATACAGATTAAAAATTTGAACTGTCTGCTGGTAACCATTGTTATTTTTATTCACACCTGGTAATTGACCAGCACTGTTATGACATTTTTTAAAGTTATGTTTAAAAATGTACTCTACTCTGTTTCGTGTTGTCCAGGAAGTTGACCACAGGTTTACCTGTCTTTCCCTCTTTCC